AAAGGAAAGAAAAATAATACTGACATTGATGTTTGGATTAGAATAATCCTTCATCACCTTCGTTAAATCTTTCAAATTATTTCTCTGTTCCGTGGAGAGGTTGTAAAACACAAACACACACACACACACACACACATAGACAGAAACGGATGAAGAAAACAGAAAATTGACATATACATGAAAACCAAAGCAAGCCCGCTTACCTCCATCAAATCTTTTCTCTGTTCTGTTGTAGAAATTGCAACTTCTCTCTGTCACACACACACACACACACACACAAATGCACACATGCACACACACCCCACACGTAGAGGCACACCCACAAATACAGATAAAAACAAGCCCGCTCACCTTCATCAAATCTTTTCTCTGTCCTGTTGTAGAAGGTGTCGTAGGAGGAAAACACAATGGGAATCACAGGCACCTAGGATACACAAAACAAAACAAAATTATATATTATTATTATATTATATGTAAGAGAGTAACAAACACAAAAAAAGGAGTAGAGATAAGGACAATAGACGTTTAATGTTAGATAAGAAAACAAGAGCAAACCACACCAGAGCACCCCCCAACCACCCACTAAAATACATACAGCACAACTACGACAGACTGACCTCATTAGCATCAGCAGGGTCAAGGGTCATCATAATGATAGCCACATAAGCCTAATTAGTATCATACACCTTTGTAAATGTGTCAGTAATGTCGGTTAAGGAAGTTAATGTGAATTCCTATGAGACTCTCTCTCTCTCTCTCTCTCTCTGTGTCTGTGTGTGTTTGCATGGGTGTGTGCATGCGTGCACGCGTGTGTATGTGTGTGTGCATGCGTGGGCGCGCGCCTGTGTGTGTGGTGGAAGGGGACTAGGGTGCATATCTCTATCCATTATCATTAACCCATTAATTTAGCATTGAGCCCCACAGAATACAAGATCCACGCTCATTTGGGCCGACTGCTAGGCTCACATCACTGTAGGCAGAATTTGCAGATAGCTGATGCTCTACATGGTCTCTGACATAATTTTCATCATTTAGGAGGGAAGCTGCTTGTTCCCGATTGTAAACTGAGTTTTTAGTAGAGGTTTTACGGCGCTCGCAACTGCATAAGGTCATATGAGCACCAGAAGATTAGAGAGGTGTTACATATACAACAAGAGAGTAACAAACATAGAAAAGGAGAAAGGGAGATAAGGACGATAGTTGTTTGATAGGAAAGAAGAAGCAAACCACACCAGAGCGACCGCCAACTATCCACCGTGTATGACTCCGACGTGGCATCACTTTTCAAAATGGCACACGGCGCAATCTTACACTTACACTAAACAGTCAATTTGTCAAAATGGCCGCCGTCTTTCCGCTCACCTGACCCTGCACTGCCAGGTGAAAGGCTCCCTTCTTGAAGGGCAGCAAAGATCCCTTGTGGTTGCGAGTACCCTCTGGGAATATGGCCACTTTGAACTGGAAGAAGTAAAGGAAAGTGGATTAAATTGAGCCAAATACTGTAAACAAAATAACACGATTTGTATGCTTTAGGTAAAGAGAAACATTTTACATTTCGACACAACAATAGTCATTTAATAATAATAACTGCATTTATTTAGTACATATCCACGCTCTACAGCAAGCTCTATGAGTTTTAGAACTTATACAGATTATTAACATATAGAGCATGGGTAAAACAAGAGAGACAAACAGACAGAAACAACAGAGAGAAAGAAAAGAAGTAGGACCGACCAGTGGAGC